GAGTTGATCAATTTGTTGAGTAGATGACTGCCAATCTCTGGGGCCTGTCTGGCTTTCCATGGTATTGGCTTTGTCACAACTGTATACACTATTGCTCCGAAAGATGGAAAATGATTTGTTTCTTCTGTTGCTTTCAAAGTGATGATTTATTCCTATTTCTTTGGACAGTACATGAATCACTCCTATTAAGAAATCCTGAAAGAAGTCATCAAAGTCAGCAGAAGCTACTCCTGGACAGTAAATGAATTTTGTTTTTATGGAACCCATTTGCTGTGCATTGTCAGCCTTTATAATGTTACTATTACAAAGGATTTTAATAATGATTTCAGAAATACTTAAAGCAAGTTCTCCAACAGAAATTGACCTGCTCTCAAACACTTGAGAATGCACTGAAATAATCTTGTTAAATGCTGCTTCTTGGATTTCCCATGCTTCCTCTTTTTCTCTGCCTTCTCTGATGCCATCAGAAATGCTTGAAATTAAATGGTAAATGACTGACTCAGTGAGATGTTCACATAATTGATAAATTGAAGAATCACTGTATATGCTTCTTTGATGCTGTTTTGATTCACATTTTTTCCTTGACAATGTAGAAACAATAGACGCTTTCTCCTCACTGGAAACTTAGAAAGAAAACATTACCATTTTTAGCATGCATTAAAGGAAATATAGAACATTCAATATATTGGTTAATTATTTGCATATGTATTTCACTTTTGGAGAACCTCACTAAAGAAAAAGAAAAACCTAGTCAAGAAAGAAATTGGGTTTTCCTCAAATATTTATTTCTCATTTTGTAGAATCTTAATTTTAGCCAGTAAGTTGAGAAAATAGCCCCAAATGATTCAATCCTCTAAGCCAAGTGCTGGTGTCTGCCTTGATTGGATGGTTATGGGATCTATGAAGCTGGAAAGCCTGGGGCAGAGAAATAATTTCCAGGTTCGCAGATACATCCTATCATGTCTTCCATGATATCTAGAGACCTCATATAAGTATTTAAAAATATTTTTAGACAAAACATTTAATGTTAATGCTGCATTTTACTTTTAGGATGCTAAGGAATTGTACTACAATATCAAATTGACTAAAATAAAAGTGTGGCAACACCAAAAAGGTTAGTGATAGGCTGCAACGGCAGTCATATTTTAACTCCTAGAAAACAATTTGTCAGAAAGAAGGGTCTACCAAGTTAGCCAAAGACTCTGTTCTTTGTTCCATTCAATAGCATATTTGTGACAAATCATTAACTACTTGGGATGGCCAACTTATGGCAGTGGAAGCTAAAGCAGCACACTGTTTTTTCTCAAAATTTTCCTCAGAACCTAATCAGGCAGGACTCTATGGAAATGGGAGGCTTTAAGCTGAGCTTTCACTGCTAAACAGAATTTGGCCATGTTGAGATGTAGGAAGTGAGGAAATTGTATTCCAAGTGGAAGAAGGAACATGAGTGAAGTCACTGGAAGGCTCTGGACATGTCTGAGTATAAAGAATTAATTTGATAGCAAGAGCCAAGTACCAATGAGATGGAATCATGGATCTACTCTTGCTTGTTTTTTTTTTCTTTATTTTTCTAAGATCAATTAGGTCATGCCTAGAGAAAGTCTACTTAAGAGTTTGTAATTGCAGATGCATAACTAACTGTCCACTGTGAGAGAATACTGGTTTTAAGGATAAGAAACATCCTCCTTATACAGGTGGATAGGATTATTAATATCTCCTATTTGAGTGATGGACAAGTGATATATTTGGACTGGTAATGTAGCAACTAATTATTGGTAACTGGAATTATTGGCTCAGTT